CGGTATAATAAGAGACACCGTCCAAATAATGATTATCAGTACGGTGGTGTTGCGATTGCTGAAATAGAACCGAAAGTCTTGCCATTTCCAGTTTTCCTATCAAAACGTTGATGATTTAAATTTTCAAGTTTTTTTTACGCCTAGAGAGGTCAGTCAAGGAAACTCCCGCTGTGGTTTCGGCTAAGTTTTCATCGTGAAAGATCCATTGCAGGTTTGCCTAATATTGGGCACAACTTGTTCATATAAAGGGACCGGCTCCGCCACCCGAAGCTGTAACCCATTATAGATAGCCTTAGCTTCTTGATGTTCACGCCCCTTACCTCGATAAGTGGAACGGTCCCGGGCCTGATGCGATTTTCCATTGTGAGTATAGCAGAGGATATTGTGAGTATGGACGCAGGAAGGGCCTAGATATCAAGCTTCATCGTGTTCTGGGTCTCCAGCCCACGTCGGGAGGATTAGTAAGTATTTCGATCTTCTAAGCAAATTTGGACTATTTGGGTGACCTCGACGAATGGAAGGCTTGGACATGGGTGTGATAAGTTTAGGGTTCAATCCACAAACCAGGTCAGCCAACTGCTCCTGCCCCACCTCAATCACATCTCTAACACACAATGCATTCGGTCTCTTACGCCTAGTCTTATTGAGACCATCCTGATGAAGAAAACGAAATCTGTCACTCATACACTTAATATAATTTTATACCTGAAATGTACAGTGTGGGTCACTGGAAAGACAATGGCGGACATCCTGTTGAGGGCGATAATCAAGTGGGAGAAAATACAGATGTCATAGCAAATCAGAAGAACTATGCCGACATATCGCGAGAATTCTTTCATTGCTTCTATATCTCTGGAAAACAATGAGCTATAAATGAGTGCAGTAACTGATAAAGTTCAATAATGAAAGTGATTGCGATGACTATTCTATTGTTGTATTAAATTATACTACTTATTGTACTGGTATCGAAGTAAAGGCAGTTGACACGATAAGTCCCCAAGATGAGTAGGATTAATAGGCATGGCAGGACGGAATTCCGCGCTCCTGGGCAGGCACCTTTTCCAAGGAAGTTCCCTTATAAGACCCTATCAAGCTGCAACATACCGACCCAAACGCCCATCGCGTGCTCACCACCCGATGGACGACCGCATCTGATGGCTTCATTGCTTCATTTGCTAAGTAAAATATGATGCGAAAGGATCGATATGAAGCAGGTGCTGCACGGGTTATGTGTACATACGTGCAGCAGCAACTACCGTACCGGTTATTAACACGATGCTTACGAGAAACTCGTCCGAAATTGCTTTCTGAGTCATGAAGAACGAAGGCTTTTCTTCGCAGGTTTTTGACCGTTTCACTTCGTTTTTCCCATTTTCCACTGTATATATCCCATTTCCGTGCTAGCATTTTGTGTCTAGTACCAGATTATCGTGCCATGTGCCTCTAAAACATACCGCTGGCTGTGTTGTTACCACCTCTGTTTGTTGTTTGGCGCAGTCCGCGAGCCGAGCCTCACTTCAAATTCCGAACCCTGCTTATCGAGACAGGCTTGCTCATCGGTGATGGTTTACGCTATTCCGACAGTAGCCTTTGCAATTTTGAGCTAAAGGCAAAGGCACGGTGTCTGAGGCGGGCTGCTGCCAACATCATTGGTGGAAGAGCTGAGTGGGACGTGGCCAGCCCTTCCACAAATGACGTTGGCAGTAATGACCCGCCCCCTGCCGCCGTACCTTTTGCCTTTATTCACTCTATCGCTCAATGATGCTAGTTATCTTGCCTATACGGCATGACCCAGCGTTTGAGAGATTTTTTTAAATACGACTACTCTCCCCCCCCACCAAACCTTAACCGGTACAACCTCATGCTACCCTACGCTCATACCAGAAACTCCCAAACATTTTGCCGTTGTAGAGAAGGTGGGGGAAGGGTGGACTACTCCGGTCAACAAACGAAAGCACTTCAGCAGTATGCCGATCAAGGGACCTATTGTGCGTGTGACACGGAAATAGTCAAAAAAGAAATTCCAGGGTAGGTTACGCACCGCCCCTTCCCTCCCTCCTCTCCAGCGACCAATTACAACTTCCCGTTGGGGGTCCTTAACGACTGTGTGGTCTGGCTTCCAAATCAGATCCCTAAACGCAGCTAATAGACCGTGACGGTTTCCTTCGATTTGTAGACTAATAACGAACATGGGGAGAATGAAGATAATCGTAAGAAACCATCGCTCGTCCTGGTTCTTGCCTACATTCGATGAGCTGCAAAATCGGTAAACTGTGGAGTGATCCCTTTGGAAATTGCAATCTGTCCTATGGCCCGCTGTGCAGATTCGTCCACCGCTTCCCACAAGACTGCGCATTTACGAGCAGCCCAAGCACTGTCTGGGACTTTCGAGACTTGCCCAAAGATCAGCCTTCGTGTGGCAAAATTCGAGCGCGAACTGCGGCGCTAAATAGCAGTTGTCATAACAAAACAACCAGACGAGGTTCCTCGTTTGCCTTTCCGTGAAAACAAATTAAAACTGCTTCCCCATCATAAATAGAGTTTAAGCTGAGTTTTCTGAAAATGTTACTATCACTCACAGGAAAACCATGGGCACATAATAAAAGGCGAACATTGCACATAGAATTGCCTCTCCAGCGGCTTGACTGGCTGTCAGTCGTCCAAATGAATTGTTGAGTGTCGGTAGGGTACGAGTGAACTTTGCCACCAGTACATTGCATATGGTCCCAGGAAATGCTACCTGAAATTTGGGGCTGGTTCCCTGAATCGAAAATTCAAGCACACACTGCAAGTCATACAAAGACGAGGTGAATAGGTCCGCAGCTGTTGTAGTGTGCCACTTTTTCCGCTCAAAATTGCACGAGAATGAGGCTAGATGGTAACGTTACCCGTATCTTCGTTACCCGTATCTAACTCCGCCTACGCTGCCGCATGATCGGCCGCACGCCATACCATGAGCAAATGCGCTACTTCCGTGCGTCCCTCCCTTTCTTGCTGTTCTGTAGTTCCTACTGCGTGGTGACTTTACCGCCTTATCTCATCTATATCCGCGAGGCGGGTGTGAAGTTTGTCTTCAAAGGCAGTTGGCACGATGGTTTCCCACTCGGTCTAAAATGCTAGTAGGGCGCTATGTAGTGGGGAAATGGCGAAAGAACGGAGTGAAACGGTCAAAATCCGGCGAAGAAAAAAGCCTCCGTCCTCAGTGACTTGTAAAGTCGATTTGGACGAGTTTCCCATACGCATCTTGCCAATCACTGCTACCGAAGATACGGCTTGGCTACGGCTGTGTTAGCCGTACGTATGTGTACCCATATATGCATGCATCACGGCCGCTTCATACCAATCCCTTCGCTTCATAATTTGCTTAGCAAATGAATGAATACGAGCGTCAGGAACGGTCGTCCATTTGTGGGCGGGCGGGCGTGGCGGGCGTTTGGGACGTAAAGTTAAGCCAGTCGCATAAATCCTACATCTGTGTAGCAATTTATCGTGCCAACTGCCTTTAAAGCAGACTGGTCTCCTGAACGTGTTTCTCGGAGTCTATGCCGAATGACTGGCGCAGATTTGCGTTGACGAAACACACAATTCACTTACAGAATTGCCTATGGAATTGTATAGCTTTATTGAAAAAGTTGGAACGAGTAGTCGCGGGGGTAAAGATGCGCATTGAAAAGGGTTCACTATTGGCAAGTGAGGACACAGGGGTATGAAGTCGTGTGGCGTCTCAACGTGATTGGTATACTGTTATCAGTAGGGAGTCGGTATATCCGTATGTAATGAAATGAAAACAAATTTGTTTACCGTAAATATAATGACAGCGGCGATTGGCGCCCACGATCCAATACTGCTTGCTCTTCGAGTTCCATGGCCAAGTTGTTTTTCTGGTACCTAATGAGGCAATGTAGGAAATTAGTGATCACGGTGATCAGTGAACGGATTTTTTCGCCTTCGAATTTTGAAAATTCTACATAGTGAAGATCACGTTGTCATGCACGCACACTATGTCAAGAGAGATAAAGAAAAGAGCCGTCATAACTATGTAGCAGAGAGATGATGGAGCTGTAACAGGCTATTACTATACTGTCAATATTACAGTATCTGGCAGGGGCGTGTTCGCAAAGCTGTTCTATTTTGAGCACGCTCGCGTATCACTGAAAAGTTGTCTGTTAAGGGAAGAGATGACATAGAACATTCAAATTTCCGAGAGCCTCTACATCTAGCTTCAATTTATTCAATTCGACAACAAGAATTAAGACGTGAAAAAGCTTCTTGCGGTTTCCGACCTCAAAGTTCAAATGTACTCTCCCACTTGTGTTGAATTCCGAAGATCTGACGGCGGCAATGTGGTGAATGCCGCTATAGTCATAGGTTGGCCTTCATTTCTCCCTGAAGAAGCTGTCAATATTGTCGAAGGAATAGTCG